TGTCTGGAATAACTCTTGCACCTCAATAATATCGTACGGAACAGCGATGAAAGTAAATATATTTTTGGGGGCCCAGCTAGTAGCAACCTGTTGTGGAGATTGCTAGCATCTAGATCTGTCCAGTAGAATCGATTGGAAAGTTTTAGAACTCTCTAGAATGTTCTAATTGCATTGCTATGTGAGCAATACATGTAGAGCGGCTCATATGTCTTTTTGATTTTGTGCTGTCCCGTTATACACTTTTGGAGAAATTTTAATTAACCTATTTGGATTATCGCTGTACTTTTTCTGCGAGTGAACGAGACAAACACGACATAATCAAAATAGGTGAATGCAATAATACATCGCAGCTGTATTTCTGGAAACCATTTTTTTAGGATTGTCTGGGTGTGGGATGCCGTTGTCGAGTAGCAAGATGACTTACTTCCGTAAGAATTCTTTTTTTTTTCTTCCCGAACAGCTACCTTCAATATGCCCAGAGTTTCACAGCATCGGACTACCTTAAATGCGTGTAGATTCTAAAAAGCATTTTTGCCTGACTTCTCACTTTGAACAGAGTTTCTACAGCTTGATACACATAGAATTCCATTAGTGATTTCCACTATCATCTCCAAACTAGATCCCCAAATGACATACGGACTTGATGGTATCGCTGTAGTTGTTCTAAAGAAATATTCTCCTGAATTAGCTTTTGTTCTTTCTAAATTCTACCAAAGATGTTCTCAACCTTTGTGCCCAGTGGCCCCCTATCACCATAAGTCAGAATATCATGCCATCCTTTTCGAAGATCGTTCGACTCAAAAGGTGTATTACAAATAATATGATATATACAAAGTGCACCCCCACCAAATAGACATAATTTAAAATGAGAATATCTGAGTAAGTACAAGGCAAATGAAATTAAATAGGATTCATGTTGAACAATATGCGAATTACCTGTGACACGACACACATAAAAACGGTAGTCCAGCTCCTGCCAAACACGTTGTAGCATGTCTTGCGTAACATTTTCCAGGGCCTCAGTGATTGCCTGCTTAAATTCCTTTCGGCTTGAAAGAAGAGGCGGGTATATAGACCTGACCTCTCACGTAGCCCCATAGAAAAAAAAGGTGTCAAGCCAGGTGAATAGGGTCACCATTTCAATAGCATGTTGTCATTATCACTGGCACGCCCGATTCCATATTCCTGGTAGATTTTCACTGAGATACGTCCGTGCAGTTAACTCAGCTTTCACATATTTTGTTAAAATTTGAGATCATTTGAGCAAGAATTGGCTATGTTATTATACGGCAAAATAATGTTTTGAGGGCACCCTGCAATAGCAATGTGTTCGTTCTTTCTCCATATTAATAAATATACATTTACATGGTTGACATTTATAGAGGAGTATCACAAATTTAATAGCAAGCGAAAATGTTGAAGGATTTTAAAACATTCATACATGTACTAACATTTGTTTTAATTTATAACTAATTATTAAATAAATAATCTGACGCAGGCTTCAATAAACAAAAGGATCGATAGTGTGCGAGGGTATTGGAATTCAATAAACGAAAAGTTCTGTAAATGATCAGGGCATTTCAATCAATTTTATTCTGAGGAGGATTACAGTTATAGGCTACATTACATATTCTGTAAATAAAAAAACATAAAAATGTGAAGGATTTTTTCCTACCTGATTAATTAGACTTTAAATCAGTTACTATTTCTCAAATAAAGATTCAGAAAATTATATTATTTTTTTTTTGAGATTTTTTATCAAAGAGAGTCATAATGCGATGAAAGGCGACAAAAAATAGGCGCTAATCAGCAATTTTATACATAAAAAAAACCTCCTCCTTTTAAACCCTGCGTTCCTGAACAATTTTAATCCTTGTGCCTGAGTCAATATTCGTAAATAATTGGTATGTAACTTTTTACAGTAGATATAAAAATAGTCACAAAAAAGTCGAACTGAACCCTTTATTTCGCTCGCTGGCACATGGCACAGTGGATAAAGGCGTTCGTTAGATCCAGTGACAGTATCCAAAGAGTTGTGAGTTCAATACCTATTTAAGGCAGTGGAGAACTTGGAGAGGGGAATTAACAGGAGATAACTGACATCCATTAAACATGGCACGTGGAATTAGAACAGTCTACCCCAGTGAGCGAAATAAAGGGTTCAGTTCGACATTCCAACCACCTGAAGAAGACCGGAGCATAAAACAGCAGAAACGTTGTAATAAATATGGCGACCATGATGAGGCAATAGTCTGAATAATGTAAATAGTGTAACATGGTTATTACAAGCCAAACCTGCTGCAATTAAGGGCGGCTAAAAAATTATCATAGCCCTTTAGCTTTCAGCTATTCTGTTATCCATCAAGGATTTTTCTTTTTAGCTGAATGTGTAGATTTTTAAATACGTTTCTAAACTAATGGGAATGTTTTTGACATTCCAAACATGACCTGTGCATTGAAGCAACAGAAATGTGATTCTACAGAAGGATGCTGAGAATATTATGGGCTGACCACGCGATCAACAAGAAAATTTTAGAGAAAACGGAAACAAAACGGACACTTATCCTTAACATCAGTAAGAGACCGTTAAAGGACGTGGAAAACTTGATTCTCACAGGACAGATCGAAGGCAAGGACGAGAGAGGGAGAACCACAAAGGAATGCAACACATAACCTCACCTAATGAATTGAAGGAATGAATGAATGGAGAAGCTCGACAACAAAAAGGCAACAATTATTAAGGGATACAAATGACAGGTTGGCCATGAGCGTACAACGGTCGAAACGTTGTAATAAATATGGCGGCAAAGATGAGGACAATAGTCCGAATATTGTAAATAGTGAACGGCTGAAACATTGTGATAAATATGGCAACAAAGATGAGGACAATAGTCCGAATAATGTAAATAGTGTACATAATACCTCATCTCAGAAATATAGACAGATATTGAATGAACAGGACGTTGTAATAAATATGGCGACAAAGATGAGGACAATAATCCGAATAATGTAAATAATGTACATAATACATCATCTTAGAAATATAGACAGTTACAAAAAATATAAGCATTATACTTAGCAGGGAACGAGTATGATTGTATGCCTTCACTTTCTCGCTAGAATTTCTTCCCAGATAAGACAATCAATAGCAAAACTTGACGCAAGGGTTTATCCACCGCTCAACTGGTGCTAGGCATTGTCATTTTTCTTTATCACTGTTCACCCGGTGGCTGGGCATTACTTCATTTCCATGGACACCACTCTAAATGATTAACCTTTTAAGTCCTGTGTTCCTTAACAATTTTAACCCTTCTGCCTGAGTCAAAATTCGCATATAATTGGTATGTAATGTTTCACGGTAGATATGAATATAGTTACAAAAATAGCAAAATACGAAGTGTTTACCCACCGTTCAAACGGTGACTGGGCATTAAGCCATTTTTCTCTACCAATGGTAAAGCTGTGGTCAAGGCTCAAAAGGTTAAATTAGTTTTGAAGTGGACCAAAGAATTTTCCTCGTTGGAAATATTAAAGTTAATCTATTAGCTTAAAATTAAAACTAAAATAAAATCTTCAAGAAAGATTTTTCATTTTTAAACATTCATTTTAAACATTAGCCATCGCGTTTTGTGGTGGTACCTAATATCAATACATTTGCGTAGATTGTTTTTATAGAGAAATTTTACAAAGTTAATAGCAATAGAAAATGTTGATGGATTTTAAAACTTGAATAAATTTGCTGTAATAACAAGAAAAATGACTTAATGCCTAGCACTAGTTGAACGGTAGATAAAAACTTGCGTCAAGTTTTGTTGTTGATTGTCTTATTTGGAGAGACAGGGACAGAAAGAAAAAAAATCTGGCGAGAAAGTGAAGGCATCATACTCGCTCCCTGCTAAGTATAATGCTTATACTTTTTTGTATTTGTTTATATTTCTGAGATGAGGTATTATGTACACTATTTACATTATTCGGACTATGGTCCTCATCTTTGTCGCCATATTTATTACAACGTTTCGGCCTTTCAGTATCTGTCTATATTTCTGAGATGAGGTATTATGTACACTATTTACATTATTCGGACTACTGTCCTCATTTTTGTTGCCATATTTATTACAACGTTTCTACATTTCAGAATCTTTTTATATTTCTGAGATGAGGTATTATGTACACTATTTACATTATTCGGACTATGGTCCTCATCTTTGTCGCAATATTTATTACAACGTTTCGGCCTTTCAGTATCTGTCTATGTTTCTGAGTTGAGCTATTATGTACAATATTTACATTATTCAGACTATGGTCCTCATCTTTGTTGCCATATTTATTACAACATTTCGGCCTTTCAGTATCTGTCTATATTTCTGCGATGATGTATTATGTACACTATTTACATTATTCGGACTATGGTCCTCATCTTTGTCGCCATATTTATTACGTTTCGGCCTTTCAGTATCTGTCTATATTTCTGATATGAGGTATTATGTACACTATTTATATTATTCAGACTATTGTCCTCATCTTTGTCGCCATATTTATTACAACGTTTCGCCTTTTCAGTATCTGTCTATATTTCTGAGTTGAGGTATTATGTACACTATTTACATTATTCGGACTATTGTCCTCATCTTTGTCGCCATATTTATTGCAACGTTTCGGCTTTTCAGTATCTGTCTATATTTCTGAGCTGAGGTATTATGTACAATATTTACATTATTCGGACAATTGTCCTTTTCTTTGTCGCCATATTTATTACAACATTTCGGCCTTTCAGTATCTGTCTATATTTCTGAGATGATGTATTATGTACACTATTTCCATTATTCGGACTATTGTCTTCATTTGCAGTATATTTTTTTAACTTACAACTAATTATTAAATGAATAAATTGAAGCACAGTTCAATGAACAAAAAGTTCAATAGAATGCCAGGGTATTGGACTTCAATAAACAAAATGTTTACAAAATGTTAGTGTATGTAAACCGATTATATTCTAATGAATGTTACCATCAATGAGAAGTTTGCAATTGTTTTTTTATACATATGGTGAAATCCAGATTCTGTAAATAAAAAAACAAGAAAAACGATTACCCAACCACTTAAACCCTGAATTCCTCTTCTTGTTGTGACCTCCTAATCCAGATTACACTGTTCCCTCTTTTTGAAACATATTCACCGTTGTCTTGATGGTTCTTGACTGGACTTTGAAGATGGATGCCAGAGTATGAATGTTGTTACCATTACTGAAGGCCTAAATGATCTTTTTCCTCTCACCATTGCTCATTTGGGATGACAGTGATCTGACACGAAACAATTTTACCATGATCTTTTTTTAGGTACATAACTGAAAGTATTTTCAGTGATGCTTACGATTAATGGTGTCAAGATGGCCAAACTTCTTATATGACAACCTGTAAAAAAGAAACTCAGTTACTTTAGTGTGCTTTTTTTTTTACATAGTAAACATTTTGTGGGGTGTATAATTATGCTGTAATGATTTGGACAATTTTTTGTTACACTCGACATATGTAAATATTTATGTAAATTCTTTTCATATCATCTGATAAGCATAATTAAAAGAAGAAAGAAAATCACAATATAGATACATATTTTTATCCTATCTAAGCATTCGATCAACAATAATGATAGTCTGTTTTTGTTTACATGGATTTCCAAGCAACGACAAACTTGTGAGACACCGGAAACGAAAATCGCACCGCAGCTCATGACGTCACACATTACCACAACCATTATTATTTTGTTCGTGTATTCTTTAATATATTGTACTGTAATTGTCATCTTTGATAATGGCTTATGTAAGCCGAAAGCTTAGATTGGATTAAAAAATATGTATCAATATGGTGATTTTCTTTCATCTTTTAATTATGCTCATCAGACGATATGAAAAGAATTTACATAAAATAAATAGACAAAGCTTGTCTATTTTATTTAATGAAACATGCATCAATGAAAAATGCTGCCTAAATACACACACTTTAATATATATATATTTATATATATATATATATATATATATATATATATATATATATATATATATATATTTATATATATATATATATGTGTGTGTGTGTGTGTGAGTGCGTAGTTTGTAAAGGAATGCATACGCCATTCTATACGTGCATATGTTTTCACAATCACATACATTAATTTTCCACAAGTTTCCTTAAAATTTCTTAGCTCATTGCGGTTATCTTTCACTTCCTTTTAAAGAGGAGGAAAAAAGTTATACATACCCCACCGAAATTAGCAAGTGCTATGGGTGTGTGTGTGTGGGGGGGTGCATATATTTATTTTGGCATTTTATGTTTTTCCTTTTTCAGTAAACCTAAGTGCTTTTTATTCTTCTTTTTTTTTTATTTTTTACTCTCCCTTCTGGAAGTGTTGGTAATTTTTTTTTTACTCTTCGTATGATTAATGAAAAGTCTTCCTAAATTGGAAAGACAATTATCCTCCAAATTCCTCAGATTCCCCCTTTGTTTTTCTCTTTATTCTGGAATATGGTATTTAAAATAAGCGAAATCAATTATATCAAACCGTAGAAAAAGAAGTAGTTAAAGAAGATAGTCTCTTAACTGCTAGACCAGGGTATGACGATCAACTACATCCGGCATACTTGTTTCCCTGATAACTATAATCTTCAAATATTCAAATGTAATGTCAATCGACATCTTCTGATGCCTTGACCTTTGATCCCCGTCCTTCTCTTTATCCTTTCCTCAAACATCCCATCTTTACTCTTGTTCTCAATCCTCTGTAACCCCTTGCGTGCTAGTGACACTCCCGCCTTGATTGGGGTGAAATGATTGAAAAAAAAATACAGTTTTAAAGCAAAATGATCACAAATACATTTTATACTAGAATTACCAACAATACCAGCTACATTCTATAGCAAAATGACCAACAATACATTCTATCTGTGGTTGAAAGGATACAATTGCTTTTAAAATATATTCAGTTGTGTTATATAAGAATAAAGTATCGCTACCGACACTTGTGTTTGAACGTAGATCGCCAGTGAACGAACACAGGCGATCCTATTATTGAACAAAATAGTTCACGTGACCATAGCGAAAACGCATATATAGAGAAAGACGCGTGATGTCTGATGTGTTCTCTATCCCTAGTCTATCCTCTAAACTATGTGTTCGCTATTTCTTCTCTATACTCTATTCCCTATACGAATTACTATTAGTACGAGGACTCTGCGAAAGCGTCTGACACCAGTATTGTTCAACGGCGTTACTATAGTTGTAACTGCGATTACAAAGTCTCTACTACTTTGGCATTCATAAAAGTGACAACAAAGTTGAAACCATAAAATTATGTTCAAAATATTTAAATTTCGGCATTGAATAACCCATAGAAGTTGATAAGCCACTAAACAAAATCAGACAACAAACAATACCTATTTATAGTATATATTTAGTTGAAGCCATAAAATTGTGTTCAAAATATTTAGATTTCGGCATTAAATAACCCATAGGGGTTAATATGCCGTAAAACAAACCAAAGCAAACCCATGTGACTATTTAAATCCTAGAATATCCCTGTGAAAGCAAAGATTGCTTACCTGGTCACCATTTGCTCTTGTCTCGTTCAGACTAATCCCATTGTGAAACTTTGCACTCAGATGTCAGTCAAGTGTTTCTAGGACAAGTTCGTGTCAGTCGTTCATGTTCGGGTCTTTCGTTAACCTGGTGGGACAGACCATCATCACCTTAGAGCATGACAAGCATAATGAGGTGAAAGAAGCTCTGTGGATGTAACAGTTGTCGAGACAGGCTCCAATTTCATTAGTAGTTCACGTGAACGCCAGCAGAACGCCGCCACACCACTGCACATTATCTATCTATCTATCTATCACAGTTTATTCATATCTATCTATCTATCTATCTATCTATCTATCTATCTATCTATCTATCTATCTATTTCAGTCTGTTCATTATCTATCTCAGTTTGTTCACATATATTTATGTATGTATTTATGTTAATTTCTATCTATCTATCTATCTATCTATCTATCTATCTATCTATCTATCTATCTCAGAGTATGCGTATCTATCTATCTATCTATCTATCTCAGTTTGTTCATATATATTTATGTATGCATTCATATTAATTTCTTTCGATCTATCTATCTATCTATCTATCTATCTATCTATCTATCTATCTATCTTATTCTACTTTACTCCTATCTATCTATCTATCTATCTATCTATCTATCTATCTATCTATCTATCTATCTATTTCAGTCTGTTCATTATCTATCTATTTATCACAGGTTGTTCATGTATATTTATATATGTATGCATGTTAATTTCTATCTATCTCAGATTGTTTATATATATTTATTTATGCATGCATGTTCATATCTATCTATCTATCTATCTATCTATGTTATCAACTAGTACCTATTTTCGTCAATCCATATAAATTTACCCTTAAATTGTTATATGTGACTACATTTTTCAACAGAAATTTAAATTCCCCTTCTCAGCAAATCAAGAGGCACACACCATTTGTAAGATTAGCTCAACACTATCATTGTTATTTTATATATGTCAAGTGCATGATCGTACTTGTAAAATCAGAGTAGCACTCATTTTAACCGAAGTCTCTTCATTCGTTGTCATAATAAATTAGAAACCTTTCGGTCATAATACCCAAAGGAATTCAATGTTGAAGTTTGAATAAATTTCAACGGAATTTATAAATAAACGAGAAATCTCAGAATAGCTCACCGCCCCTTGGAAGTCTTTGAGTGGGTGAGATTTACATTCCCTGGAAACATTATGCATTTGAGACATTTCAGATGCGATTCGAAGTGAATGTGTCCCACAAGATTGCTCTCCACAAATACTTTGGTTAGCATGGGCAGTATAAATAACCCCAGCAACTATGGAAATACTATTATTATTTTGTAAATTCATGACACTTTTACTGTTGAACAGTTTGATCAGCTGCTCGGTTTGAGACAAATTTTAGAACCATCTAAATAACGTCTTGACATTAGTCGACGCCCTTAATCTCGTGTTTCAAGCCATTCTATGAATTATTGGGAATTGTGACCTTAACTTTGTTTTTTAGTATCACAATGTATCAGCAAATGTTTTGGTCGTATTTCTCAGAGGTAATTTACAACTAAAGAAGGTAACGTGTGTCCTCAACCCCAATTCTGATTCAGCCAACCAAAGAATTTAAAACCCTTAAAAAGTTTGGGCTCTATGTGGATGATGGCTAGAAAATGTGTCTGACCATGTTTTTCAATCCAAGATATGCGCTAAAAACACTTCTATCTACAAAGTATTAACTAACATTCTCAACAATTTGTAAAGGCGATGAAAAGAATGATTTTCCAAAATTATTTTTGGTGAAAAGAAAAAAAAAACTAGGTTGGTAACGATGTTGTTGAGAAATGTATTAGGATCATCTTTCTGTTTTTATACCACATCCTACAGGATGTGTAAGAATTTGATTCTACCCAGCTTTATGTCTTCTGAAAATAAACTCAGTTCACAAGATAATCTGCAGATGGTAGGGTGAAACTTCCATAAAACTCAGAATAGAGATTGAAAAAGAAAGTGATTTTATTTTTGTTATAAATAAAATATTACATACTCACAGTAAACGTTACTCAACAACAGAAAATATACAAACAGTACAAACCTAACGAAGCATATATATCAACTCAAAAATGCAAACAAAAAATAATATGCAAAAAGTATAACCCTAACGAAAAATACAGGCTAAAGAACAATAAAAAATAATATGGAAAATAAGAAAAGCAACTCCTCAAAAAAGGCCATAAATTTGCCTAGAGAATAAAATAACCATGATCACCTTTCCAGATGGCCTCTTAAACAAAAGACGACAACTGATTTCCAAATGCAGAGACGAAAACAAATTCCTTCTGCGATACCTACTATATATCAACCTATAACATTTTTTTCGTTATTTCTATCTATTTCTTTCTTTTTATTTTCTTTGTATATCTATCTATCTATCTATCTATCTATCTATCTATCTATCTATCTATAAAAGTGAACATAGAAGTCAACGCTTAGAAGCGACAGTCTGTTTCATGCTAGATGCAAACTTTCAGGCCTGACGATTGCCTCTAGCATGAAACAGTCTGTCGCCTCTAAGTGTTGACTTCTATGCTCACTTTTATATTTACACACGCTCTATCTCTGATATTGAGCACTTTATTCCATAAATATAGCACATCTTAAGTCTATATTTCTTCATATATATATATATATATATATATATATATATATATAAAATTCTGTTCATCTTTTTCTTTCTTTCTCATTCTGATCATTTTCTTTCTTTCGATTTATCTATCTCATTCTGTCTATTTTCTTTCTATCTATCTATCTATCTATCTATCTATCTATCTATCTATCTATCTATCTATCTATCTATCTGTCTGTCTATTCCACTCTTTTCATTTTTATCTATCTATCTATCTATCTATCTATCTATCTATCTATCTATCTATCTATCTCATTCTGTTCATTGCTTTCTTTCTCGCTTTCTTTCTCTCTTTGTTTCTATATATCTATCTATCTGTCTATCTATGTATCAAAATGAGCGTAAGTTTTTAAGTTTGTATCTATCTATCTATCTATCAAACTGAGCGTAAGTGTTTAAGTGTAGTGTGCTGGAAGAAAGAATACAAGAACATTAATTTATATCCAGTTTATGATTGATCTCTTTTTTATGGTTTATCAACACTGTGTGGATTATTTAAGCCGAAACATATTTTCGTTTGTAAGAATAAATCATTCTTTTGAGAGGGAATATTACATTAAAAATTCTTTTGAGATAAAATGAATTGTTCAGATGCAAATCCTACTAATAAACCAATACCTTTGAGGATGGGACGTCAATTCAAATCTCATCAAGGTTATTTGCACATAAGTGAATGCTACGAACTCGACTGGAATTTGAACTCGGCTCTCTCATTCGTCATATGTGAATATATATCAGGTCATCCCATAAGTTCTGTCCGAATTTTGAATAAAGAAAACAAGTGACCAAATGTTACATTTAATTACAGATTCAATCAACAATGTATTTTCCCTGATTATCTATCACTTCTTTCCATCTATTAACAAGCTTACTAATTCCATTACTGTAAAATTCTTTTGGCTTTGATTCGAAGAACTCACAAATGTCAGTTTTAACCTCTTCCTGTGTTACAAAAGCTGTTTCTTCCAAATGATTCTGTAAGCTACGAAACAAATGGTACGCTCTAATTGCTGACAATATATTTGAGCATTAATTGTTGCATTAGGTGGTAAGAATTCAAAGTGGATTATTCCTTGGCGATCCCACCAGATTGAAAGAGCATTTGCGTATGAAGTTCTATCTATCCAAAAAGGTGAAACAAGTTGGCGAGAATGGAGAGAAGAGCAGATGTCAACTCGGGATTTGAGGTTGTTTTCAGACAATTCATGAGGCACCCATTTTACAAGTTTAAAAACTTTTCCAAGTTGTTGAAGATGACGATGAACAGTTGTATGGTTTGAACTGAGAACCACTGCCAATTCCTCAACTGATAAAGCAGGATTTTCTTCAAGGGCTGCTTCAAGAAGCTTTTCATCAAACTCAACTGGACGTCAGGTTCGATCTTCATCTTCAAGGGTGAAATCTCCACCTCTGAATTTTGCAAACCATCTTCTGCAAGTTCTTTCATTCACACATTCCTCTCCATAAACTGAGTGAATGTTTCTAGCCGCTTCGGCTGCTGAGTTTCCTTTCTTGAACTCATAAAGCATTATGTGCCTCAAATGATTCTTGGGTGCTTACATGTTAGCAGGGTTTTAATCAAACAAAATTTAATATTATTGTTCTCTGAAATAAAATTTGATCAGTTTAAATGCATCTAAACATAAAAATAATGTTCAGCTCCAGTGCCCAAATTAAGAAACAATTAATGTATAAATAAATAAAAAATCTATCGTTTGTCTCTTTGGTTAAATATTTTTAAGTGGTTTAGGCTGAACATTTTTAGTAAGCATTTGTAAAATAATTTAGAAGTGGTTTAATGTACTTAGAGCTTTAGTTCTCAGATTTATACGTTTTTTATTCTTTCTTTTTAGTATTCTTTTCTTTTGTTTTACATAACGCTTTCGTCTTCCCGATTATTAAACAATTTTACGTGGGTATTATGATTTAGGGAGAGAAAAAAAAGGATATGATTATTTTACCACAAAAAAAAATCCGACTTTTCAGACTTGGGAACACCGATAAGAAAAAGATGGCGTTCATTTTTTATTTAGTAAGGGAATAATGTCTTAGCATTCTTTAGTGGTTCCTGGATATAATTTCATACATGCTTGACAAAAAAAGAAAAAAAAAAAGAAATCGTAACAGAACCGTTAAAAATAGATATGGGTCGGGCCCCATTTCACTGTTCTAGTTTGACAGCCCTTACGAATGAAAGCGGATGGAAAATAAAGAGAAAAAGAAAATAAACTCCCTTTCTTTTAAGATTGAGACACTCTATATGTTTGTTGGTATGTGAATTTATGTCTCCGTAAATATGTGCTGTATATATATATATATATATAATATATATGTGTGTGTGTGTGTGTGCGCGTGTGTGTGAGTTTGTGTCTGTGTGTGTCTTTCTGTTGACGTCAGGTGAATGCTGTAATATGTCAAACTGAAGTCTTCAAAATGACTATATATATATATATATATATATATATATATATATATATATATATATATATATGTATATGTATATATATATAAACATACACATTAAATATATATATTTGTATATATATATATATATATATATAAACATGGACATTAAATATATATATTTGTATATATATATAAACATACACATTAAATATATATTATTTGTATATATATATATATATAAACATACACATTTAAATATATATATATTTGTATATATATATATATAAACATACACATTAAATATATATATTTGTATATATATATATATATATAAACTGACAGATTAAATATATATGTGTGTGTGTGTCTGCGTCTGTGTGTATGTTTGTGATAACTTAATATATTAAAAAAAAATTTTGATGACTTTAGTTCATCGGCGTAACATGTAAGACTTAAAATTATATATATATATATATATATATATATGTGTGTGTGTGTGTGTGTGTGTGTGTGTGTGTGTGTGTGCATGTGTGGGTGTATGTGCACAATACTATACAATATAAACAATGGATATATAAAACAATAGTGTGTATGTGCATATATTTGAGTGTATGTGTCTTTGGATATAACGTATTGATAATGAAATAAATGTGACCTCAAAGGCACCACAAAATACTCCTACATTAAACTACACATGCACACACGCACGCACAAACACTCACGCACACACACACGCACAAATACACACACGCACAAGTACACACACACACATATATATTATATATATGCATGTGTTTGTATGTGTGTGTATGTATCTTAAATAAATATGTGAAATAAAATTATTTCTGATGAGAGATCATCGGCGTAACATGTAAAATTATATATATATATATATATATATATATATATATATATATATATATATATATATATATATATATATATATATTCCGACGACAAAAACACACATATATGTATATATTTATGCACTTTTTTTAAATACTAAGATAAATGCGAACACACGCACAATAAACCATATCAACATATATATATATATATATATATATATATATATGTGTGTGTGTGTGTGTGCGTGTGTGTGTGTGTGTGCACCCGCGCTCGCGTGTTCGTATCCGTATGTAAATGATGTCTGGTTAATATTGCACATATACAAATTTATACAATTGAATCTCTCCTACTTCCTCTTCCCCACCTCACGCTCACTCTCTCTGTTCCTGTCTCTGTCTGTCTGTCTGTCTGTCTGTCTCTCTCTCTCTCTATATATATATATATATATATACACACACACGCAAACACACACAGACAGACAGACAGACACACACACACAGACATATATATATATATATATATATATATATATATATATATATATATATTCCTGTAAATGACTTACACCTACTTTATATTGTATTGTTTTGGGGATGTGCATTTAATATAATTTTGAAAGATAGTGTATTGAATTTTTGAAGATATTGTCAGATATCTACCCTCCACCTGCAATAACCTCCACCTGCAATAACCTCCACCTGCAATAACCCAGTCTGAATCTTTGAAAAGCGCAAATAGAATATTGGAAAATGCTCAAAATGGCAATTTTTTTCCTCAAGGGCTATACATCGAAAAGGAATCTCTTGATTTCGCACAAGATAATCGAAATAAAATAACATGTTCTAAAGAGGTTTTGCTGCACGCACACACGCATACACACTCACACACACACACACACACACGCGCGTGCGCGCACACACACACGCACACACATACACACTCACACTCACACACACGCACACACACGCGCACACACACACTCACAGAGACAGTCTAAGATCCTTCTAACTATCCACCTGTTGGCTTCTTCCTCTTTTTTGGCAAATCACTAGAGGCCCTAATCAACTATGAATTAGTTTAGCATCCCACCTTCCAGATTAGCAATATGACTTCCGCTCCACGAGATCAACTGCTGATATATTAACGATTATTACCCAAAGTATCTGTCAATATATTTAGATAAGAATGGAGATCGGTCTGTTGCTTTGAACATCTCGAAGGCATTTAACAGGGTTTGGTAGACTGCACTTCTTCAAAAGAACTTTTTGAACTGTATCCTTCTTACTTATCAAATCGAAAAAAAATTGTCTTGAATGGCCACTCGTCTAGATCTATTTGCATCAATGCAGCTGTCCCACAGGGATCTATCCTTGGATAGATGTTCATAATTTTCATCAATGACCTTCCTAATAGCATTGGTTCTCAACTCGATATCTATACTGATGACATAACTATTTACTCCTGTCTTAATAAAAAGAACTCTGCAATGTCGTTGGTCCTGACCTGGCATCTCGGATTTAGTCACTAAACACCGCGGTAATGTAGCTTCCTTGTACGTTTTTTATAAATATTTTTCATTGTTATTGCTCTGATGATCTTAGACATTAAGTGCAGTGCTACATTAGCAGCAAGGACTCATCATTTTATAGTTGCTAGATGCTACCGTAAGTTCTCTGGTAACAGATTCTTCTATCGCACTTCTCGCTTGTGGAATTCTCCTTCGGCTTCCAGCTTTGCAGTCAGTTTTATCTTAAAAAATTTAAATGCCAATTCTTAAATTCTGTCTTCCTAATCTCTGATTTTTGTTCTCCCTCCTTGATAATGTGTTGTTCTTCTTATACTCTTTCACACTCAGTAATCAAGCTGCGTCTTAGTGGCTTTATTACCTTGCTTGGGGTGAAATGATTAAAAGATACTGGCACAAATAATTATTATCCATCTTTGAATTAGGAGCATTCGCATGGATGCAGATTATTTTGAATATTATTTTTTCGACAAATGATTTCTACGTTTACCTATCTCTCAACCTCAGTATGTATACATGCATATATATTATGAAATGGATTAAGTCC